GGGGCTGGGGATTTAGCTCAGCGGCAAAAGCGCCTGCCTGGCAAGCGCAAGGTCATGAGTTCGGTTCCCGGTACCGGAGAAAAACCAAAAAAAAAAAATAAAAAATAAAAAAAATAAACAGATTCTTAGAACTGAAAGGAAATCAAAGAGAGTGCCACAAAGTAGCCTATCTGCTGAAATGATATTTCAGTGCCATCTGCTACTTTTAGTTATTTTTCTTGGGTTTAGTGAAAATAATAATTTTCTTGAAGAACATAACTTTTGCTGATGGGCTTTTTCCTTGTCCTTTCATACTATTCTGTCTAGAGGAAGTCTTTTCTTTTGATGTTAGTAAACATGATTACTGTAGATGTAGTTGAGTTATCTGTCAATGCAGAGTATATGACATTTGTTTAAAAATTCATAAAATATCAAGTTTAATTTGCATGATAAGAATAATTACTCAGAGATGCATACTGATATTGTATGTTTAGAAATACATATTCAACATGCTTACAGGTGGATTTCACAATATACAGTTTATGTGTGGATTGTACTTTGGTTATATTTAAAGTTAGTTTTTAAAAATAAATTTAAAAATCCACTCATTTATATTCAAGCTACTTTTGTCCTAGATTAGAAGACAAAGTTACCTTGCATTCTGACCTTGGACAGAGACTTATTTTAAATTTATTCTCAGTTGTGGAACTGGGCAACAGAATCAACATTCTAAGAATGCAATGTTGGATCACGTGATCCAGTTCCACATTTTTAATGCTCTTCCACACAAAATCGTAACTGTTCACACAACCTGCAAGTTCTTCTGGAGCCTTCCTTCATTACCAGTGTTCCTTTTCTAGCCCAAGACTATTTCTTCCACCCTACCTCTAAATTCTTTTCTTCTTTGGGCTTTTTCACAACTGTTCCATTAGATATTACTTTCTTCTCCTATATCTTCAAAGCCATCTTTTCCTTTTAAATTGCCTCCTGCCTTTTAACCTATAAAGATTCATAATCTTAGTTGGACACACAGGTAAAATTACTTTCCAGATTCTATGTCATTTCCCTCTGCTATCCTCAGGTTTCATCACCTTTTCTCCATTCAGCCATTGTGCAAGCATTGTTTATAGTGTCATCTCTTCATTTTCAGTTCAGTTCTCAGCCCATTATTTTCTTTCCACTTACTGTCCTGTAATTGAAGTGAACCTATAGCCTACATTTTTTAAGACCAGATAATGATTGTCCATTGTTCTTAAAGGATCCTCACTGAACCTTTGAGCTGTTATGATCCAGGCCTTCATTTGACGTTCAGGTCAACTACCTTTTCTCTTTTCTTTAAAGCAGGCCTCATATAAGCTTCCTTCTCTTATATCCTAACAAATGCCAAGATTCATTCTATGCTTGAGATTCTCTGCCAGAGTTCTGAATTGATTCTGCTTCTCTAGCATTATGTTCCTGTTTACCTCCAGAGACACTTTCATTTTCCTTGATGCTTTTTTTCTTGTTTTTAGTATTCACTCTGTGGTTCTTACCTTAAACGACGCACTGGCAATATTTGCAAGAAGATCTACAACACCAAACACAGTGTCCATCATTTACCATCCCCAACCAGATAATCTCTACTCATTCTTAGCACAATTATCAGTTCCTTGGAAAATTTCTGAGCATTAGGTCCCCCAAAATGATTAGATCTCCATTAAATGGGCTGGCCTACCCTACTCTTTTGCAAAGTAGATTTTATAGTTGCATATTTTGTAATTACCTCTTTGTATCTCAACTCTTTTGCTGATCATTCAAATGATAACCTTGTTTGTTTTAATATATCATTGATCTGTGGTCATTTACACAGCGACTTGCCCATGTGAAGTACTCAGTAAATACGGTATGAATCAATGAAGTACTGTCAGATCAAAATCTGTAACCTACACTTTTGTTTTAATGTCCATGTTCACCTATAAGTAGACACACAACTTGCTTGTACCTTTTAGGATCATGTATCTAACCTATTCCTTAGATATTTCCACCTCACTACAATGCCTTAGTCTTTACTTATCTTTCAAAGAAAATGACAAAAGAAATAACCGAAAAGCAAAATACAGTCTTTTCAGTGGAGTTCATGTCTTCCCCCTACCAGTGCCTAAAACCTCATCAGCAGTTGACGTTGGAGTGAGAAAATGGTATAGTCCCATCTGTCACTGATTTGAAAGTATTTCTCAACCTCTGACCCTCAGTCTCAGTGTCCTCCCTCCCAGCCTTCAAGTCTTCGCCACCTCTTTTTATTGTCATGATTTCTGTGCTGCTTCTTATCTCTAATTGTGTATTCTTCTACCCCATCTTCCATAGTGCTCCCACAGTTAACCTTTTAAAACATGAGTCAGAGCACTTAGTCTTAGTTCTTCAGTGAATTATTAGTGGTTCTTTTGGTCTGTTTGCTTTTAATATATTTTGTCTTTTTGAGACAGAGTTTCACTATGCAGTTCAGGCTACCCTGGAACTCACTCTGTAGCCCAGGCTGGCCGCAAACTCACAGGGCTCCTCCTGCCTCAGCCTCCTGAGTGCTGGGATTACAGGTGTGCATCATCACACCCGGCTACTCTTCAGTCAATTATTGAAAGCAATTTTTCAGCAAGCTAAACTACTATGGTCCAGTGCATAGTTTTCTCATATATTTATTTACAGGATATTAGTAAAGAAATCAATTTAAAATTATTATGCACTTTACTCCCATCTTCCTGGGAATACCTGTAATTTTGTGATGAGGAATGATCAAGCAAAATAACATGATCAGAATCATCAAGTAAGTGGTACACCCTTAGGTTGAAGATACCCAAATTTTTGCTAAGTATTAAAAGCTACAATTATTTCCCAAACACTCATAACTCTTCATGTCTCCATCATGTTGGGCATGCTGACTTCTATCGCAATAATATTGTCTTTCCTTTCTTGAATGACAAACTCCTACTTATACTTTAGTATCTATGTCATCTTATTTAAGTCCAACAATCTCAAGAGGTAACTGACTCCCACATTGTGTTTCCACAGCAACGGGCACAAATTCCTTCTAAGCATCACATTGATTTTTACTTTTATTGCAGAAAACTTTCTGCCAACCACTAAGTTACATTCTCTAAGAGAACAATAGGTTTGTCTTATTAATCATTGTGTCTGCTACCACCTAGAGAGCATCTGGCACACAGCTTAATTTAAAATTTTATTCTTAATTCATTGTTATGCTTTTATATCTAAATCTGAGACAGAAATCTAAACTGGCTGAGGAAAGCATAGAAGAACTTGGATATCAAATTGCTTAAACACCAGACACAGCAACATACATCCAAATTGTTGTGAAACGTGCCAGGGCTTTGTGAGTCACTCTTTACTTTGTAGAAAGCATACATTTTCAATTTTATATATTCACTTAATTTGCATTTTAATATCCTACCATGTTCCAAAAGAATTTCAGGCAATTTACCAAAGAATGCATTAATTTAAATTATAATTAAATAACATAGAAGTAGGGTATTGGTATGAAGGAAGGAGACTCAAATATGTTCACCTTTCAGCTAGCACATTCATTGCAGTCCACAGTTATAGGGGTTGAGCTTCAAAGTGTAAGCTACTTGGTGACTAACATAACACGTGGGGAGGGGGGTGTTGCTTTCTTTAATAAAAAATGAATACTTAAAGAAAAGCTTTTCGGGTACTAAGATCAGTTTTTTAAGTCAAAATTTCATGTGGGAAAACTGGGTGCTGTAGCAAGTGATGTCAAACTTTTTCCCAATAAAGGCAGTAATGGATTTCATATTGATGTTTCTTGTAGTCCCCTTCAATAAAAGCTGAAGGCACTATATTAACATACAACTCAGTGAAGGCAATTCTTCAAGGAGCTAAACTAATATGGTCCAAGTATATAGCTTTCTCATGGCCCAATTTAAACCAAGGAAAGACTTTAGAGTACTTAGAGAAGTGGATGGACTGTTTAACCTTCAAACAATCTTCTGTAAGTATCACTTTTCTCAGTCAGGATGGTTAGCAGACCGTTGACAGCAGCACTACCCAAGCAGGGAGCATGTTGCTGTTTTACAAGCCATGGGATGGCTCTGAGCCACAGTGACTGTAAAATGCAACATGATATGGTAGAAATAGAGTGAGTTTGCATTTCGGAGATCTGGGGTTTCCTCCAAAGCCTGTTATATTCCATGTGTGATATGAGATCCCTAGTTCCTTAAGGTAAGGGACAATCTCTGAAATCTCCAAATCTGAAGTCATGTGATTGTTACTTTCATTCACCTAACAGTTCGAATCACTTATAGGTGTCTGTATTTTAGCTCATTTGTTCACGTAGTAAGCATTTTATCTCTCAATCAAAGGAAGCCAAGTGTGGTTTCCCACCGTTGTGTATTACATTTTGACTTCTGTAATCTGGTTGCTCGCCGTGACATTTTAAATGTGCAGTGAGTGACTCTAATAATATAACAAGTTAAATGTATTCTGAAACTTACAAAATATAAATAGAAAACTACATGGTGTGGGTTATAGTCTCTTTTCATCCCACTTCAATGGCAGTCTGTGAACAAACTGTAACAGTGCAGTTTCCTTTTCCTCCCAACAGTGTTTAAGAACACATCATTTACGGTATTGTTCATAATTCCCTCCCTTGCTCTCCCTTTTACTTATATGGGTCCCAGGCCCAGGCAAAATACTGTCCATCACAATGTTTTTAATTTGAGCTTATTTTATTAGTTTCCAGTCTTTCACACTTCTAGGTGGTAAAATTGAGGATTTGGCAGACAAATGCATAGTAGAATTGCAAAACAAGCTATTGAATTCGCTTTCTCTCAATCTAACAGCAGGTTTACCCTATTCTGTGAAACATTGTATGTTACGTTTTATATTTTATACACAGTTTGCTACCATAGCAATCACTGCAGTAATTGTAATTGATTTATCATTATGGAATTGGATTTTTTTGTTTATTTGGTTTTGGTACTAGAAATCGAATTCAGGACCTTGTGCTAGCCAGGCAGGCACTTGTGCCACTGAGATATATCCCCGGCCCTGGAATTGTTTTTTGATCTACTTTTGGACAGCAACTGTGCTAGGAGTCCCACAGGACAGTTTGTGTCTTAAGTGAACTTATATTAAGTGATAAGTGCAGAAAAAAGGAAAAACACATGCTTATGCTATAGAGTCAGGTTCTAGAGTGCCACGGAAGGACGTGGAAGGGCTGGCTACTTAATGAGCACAACAGAAAGCGATATCTCAGTAGATGTCCCTCAGTACACATCTGCTAATGGGAAGATAGTAAAATGTGCCTGCCTTGAGGATCAATGTGAGATTAGCTTCCAGCTCCTGGCTGAACTGTGGTATCATTAACAGGTTAGAAACGATAGAAGGGTGTGTGTATTTGGGCAGGATAGAACTGAGCATTTAAGCTGAGCGCATATCTTGACAGTTTATGTATTTATTACCCCAGGGATCTGTAGGTGATCAAGTACATCTTATTAGTTATCTATAGGTATATAACACTGTGACATGCTTAAAGTTAATAGGAAAAAACCATTGTTAATGCGCCTTTTTCCCCTCCCTGTTCACTGCATTGTTAGCATTTAATGACTTTAGGAACCCAACCTCATTTTGTTGTTTTCTGCCACAGTTGGCCTTTTTCTCTGAGTGACATAATATAGTTTATGTACCATTTAAAATACCTGTAACATTAGATTAAAATTGACTGTAGTAAAGCAGATAGTAACTACTACTAGCACTATTGTAATTCCCAAGAAAAATAAAAATTATAAAGGAATATTAAAATTTACTTCATGGCAGTGAGTACTGTTTTGAATAATTAACATAATAAGACTCATTGTACTATTTCTCTGAATGGATTTGAGTATAAGGCAAGGGCTACACTAAATAAAATAAACGGTGTTTAGAGAGGTCGAAGTCATGTGGCCTATGTATTCAGCCTGCTGATGATCTTGCTTGAACCATGGCCCACTTTATGTTCAAATAGCTTTCCATAATATAATGGAGAACTCTCAGCATAGCTCTTTTGAAAGTCAGTAGTAACTAGTTCAAGGCAGTATCTCCTGGTAATGGTTTAATTCTTTGGTATTGTCACTAGTACTATGACTTGTCAAGCTATAGAATAGACTAACTAGCCAATCAGTGTCATAACTTAGAAGAACACTAATATACATTGTGAATACTTAATCTGATACTCTGCTTTCGAAAATTGAGGAATTTTAAGTGAGTTATAAATATGCAAAATATGAACATTTTGCTCTATGTACATTTAGCTTTATACAAGAATACAGTCTGCTTTAATGTAGATTCATAGTTATTATTTTCAAGTAGACTAAGGGGAATTATTTTCTGCTTTAAAACCAGACTGTTAGAGTCTCAGCCAGAAAAGCCTTGCTGTGTGTTGTCTAGGAATTCAGGAGATGTGGCACCATATGGGTGCTCTTCCCTTCATTCAGTGAATTGGTAAGAAATTCCAGGTGCCCTCACTGGGTTGCCGGCTGCAGATATAACATATGGCTCCTGCACTGTGATTGCTACTTGTCCTCAAAACGGTAACGTTTCCAAGTTGCAGGGAGCACTCTGAAGTCAGAGCTATCACTTTGTTTAGTGTTGACATTTCCCTGAGATTTACAGTTATATTCAGTTATTGAAGACACATTTTGAAAAATGAACAAATTAAAATGAATTTTGTCTTTATAGCTAAATCTACAAAACCTATAAACATATATTAGTTATAGAAGCTGCAGCATTAGATGAAACATGACCCAATAGCATACCAATAGGTGGCATTGATATTTGGCTTGTGCCTGCTGATGAAGCCTTGCTGGTTATGTAGCACTGCTATCTTCCTGGTCAGCCAGAATATCTGCTAGATCAGTTACTCTAGCCTAGTTTCATAAACATAATTTATCACCCTAATATAGAGGTGTAATTGAAGGGTATTTGTGGAGGGTGCAGGAAGGTTGTTTGTCAAAATTAGTCCACAGATTTTTTTATGATTCTTTGCCTAAATCCTGAAACATGATTCTTGATCCAATTTAAATATCCCACTTCCAGAAAACCTTCCTTGAGTTTTTTTCATGCAGTTATTGATTTCTTCCAAGCACATAATGGATTGTCTTTTCTGATATTTACCTAGTGATTATCAACCTTAACTGAATATTTTACACACAAAAAAAATACTCCTAAATTTCAAATAACTTACTATGACAAAAGTCATACAGAACAATTAGAACACAGAGATTTGGTAGTCAGACACATTTAATTTAGTGATTTTTCAGCCATTTAGTAGCCAGGAAAACTGATCTGGATTCTAATCTTCGTTAGCCTCCGTTTCTGAAATTATACCTACCTTTAAAATTAAACTTACTTCCCACTTATTAGTGAGATTGAGATGGCATCCAGGAACACTTGACCTGACACATCCTAGTGCTTGACAAGCCCATCTGTCTTTTTTTTAAATCTGATGCACACTTATCCTACATTTGTCACATGAGAACTATGTCATCATGATGAAGAGAAGACATGTTATAATTGTGCCAAGTAATAAGCAGTAGTTCTTCATCTCTTTTCCCTTTACCCTGCAGCCAGATCCAGAAGATCTTGTCAGCAGGGAAAGCAGAGCATGACCAAACTTATTTCAATGAAAGATAGGTGACCCAGCCCTGTTTTCAGATCCCCTGTGCTTTTACAGATCCTTTCTTTTTTGTTTGAGCATTTTGAGTATTCGCAATTAGAATAACTAGTACAAGCAATTCTAAGTTGTCCTGTAAATCTGTGGCTTTACACTAATTACTATTTTGGATAATTCATTGCTGGTTTAATTTTCTTTGCATTTAGATAACTCACCATATAGTCATATTAGGTAAAAACAGATTAGTACTGTTTATAATAGCAGGTTTCATTAAGTAACCTATTTTGTGTCAGCTTTGTGGAAAAGCTCATGCCAATTGTTAAGACAGAAGCAGCACAAGACTTCAATGAGCTTACGTCCTAATGAGAAAGAACATGACTAGGAAATATCAAATCAATCAAATAATCACATGACTAGGAAAAAAATTTACACACTTTCAAAAAGTCCCACAATGGAAACATGTTTGGGTACTTTACAGAGCAGACAAGTGTAACAAAGACTTGTAATAATCAGGGTAGTCTTTTCTGACAAATCACTTTTCAACCAGACTACAGTATGAGAGTGAAGAGGTCATGTTAAAAATGGGAAGAAAGTATTCCAGGCTAAGGAACTGGCAGGGGAAGAGCACAAAAGGATGGAAATGGTCATAAACTTGGTTATTTCAGTAGAACTTGTACATAACAAAAAAAGAGAAGTCAAAGGTAAAAAATGTTGTTTTTATTTTAATTTCCATGAGAAGCTAGTTAAAGTGGGGGTGATGTGATCTAATGTATTTCTTAAAGACATCCCTGTGGCTCTAGTGTGTCTAATGACTGGACATGTTCAAGCCAAACAGGAAGAGGACAAAAAAGAATTATTTGGTCCAGCCAAGAAATAATGACCCAGGCAGGAGCTGGTGGCAACTGAACTGACAATTATAAAGTGAAACAGATTGGGAATGATTTAGACAAAAACCCGAGAGTTGCTATTTCATTTCCTTTATGTGCTTTGGGTATTTTTCACTCTGCTATGTGCATAAGGTTACAATTTCTTACCATCTAAGTAAAGCATTATTGTACAGTATTGATACGAGGTGAAGAGGAATCCTACTATCAAGTAGAAATTTGGGATCATTCATAAGAGATGATCATCCTTCTTGTTAAAAGGTGCCTATATTTCACATATTTGTGCACTAATTAATTTAACAAATATTTAAGAGCCATAAGAATAAAAATCATTGTGCTATTTAGTAAAATTGTGTTTTCTGTTATTTTCTATGTTGATAACAACAAAAATGATTCTCCAGGTAAATAGTACCACTGGTTTTGCTCTGGGAATTTCCTCACTTTAATGGTTTTAAGATTTAATAATCTCATGTTTATTTGTCTAAATTTCTTTTTTGTAGTGGATAGTTAAGGGTATCAGAGCACTCTTACAGAATTTGAACAGGAGTCTGGAAGATGTTGAATAGCAGGCTCAACCCACACTTTATTAATTCTTCTGTTTTTCAATAGAAAAAAGAGAAAGCGTCTGTCATGATACAGAACAATGCTTATGCTGTTGCTGTTGCCAATTATGCCCCGAATCTTTCAAAAGACCCGGTTCTCTCCACCATCTCCAAGAGCGCAACCACGCCGGAGCCCAATAAGAAGCCGGAAAACAAGCCAGCGGAAGCCAAGAAAACCTTCAACAGTGTCAGCAAAATTGACAGAATGTCCAGAATAGTTTTCCCAGTTTTGTTTGGTACATTTAATTTAGTTTACTGGGCTACCTATTTAAACAGGGAGCCTGTATTAGGAGTCAGCCCTTGAATCTAGGCACAGGTTATTTTTGGGATATATAGTGACCTTAAACTTGTTTGTTTTGCTATGTACAGTCTGACTAATAACTGCTAATTTGTCAACCAGTATGTACAGTATGTATATAGTGATACCGCTTACCAGTAGACCTTTAACAGAGGTATGCATTTACCAACTTTCAGAAATGTGGCCAGAAGCACCCCAAGCTAAAAAAAGCCATTGCCTTTTTTAAAGATTTACCCTGGGACATGGTTTATAGTGGTTTTCAGAATACCTAACTTATTTCCTGTTCTTCTAATATTGATGAAAATTGGGATCCTATATTATCCTTTATGGAACATTTTGATTTGGGAGTATTATTTTTACTGTTGGCTAATTGTAATAGAAGATAATGTCACTTAAGATAAATTCTTAGCAGAATCTTAAGTCTGCAATATCACTTCCCTCCACGAGTGCTCAGCATCCCTATTAATGTAATTGGAAGCTTGACATACATAAAAAGAAAAAACTAGAGATTTGAAATCAGCTTTTAATTACTCTGTAGAGTATCTGTAGTCATGTACATATTACAGCATGACAAGCTCAAATAATTATGAGTCACCCTGACGGGATGTTAATTATGCCTACAATTTAATAACTATTGGAATGTCATGGTCAGTATATTTTTAGCTTCAGAATTCATTTGAAAATAATAATTGAAATCTTATGACTTATTTCATTCACTCCAAACTACCTTAAATTAAAAAAAGAATAAATGTGTCTTACTCTTTGCAGTTATGCATTGTACTGAAATTTATCAGCTTCTTTTTTCTTCTCTTTTTCTTTCTTTCTTTCTTTCTTTTCTTTCTTTTTCTTTCTTTCTTTCTTTCTTTCTTTCTTTCTTTCTTTCTTTCTTTCTTTCTTTCTTTCTTCATTTTGGTGCTGGAGACTGAAAAATAACCCAGTTTGGCTGCTGTGGAGCAACTTTCATATTGGTTCAGAAACTTGTGCCAAAAACTCCAATTGCTGAGAATTCATGGGTGTCCCAAACTGTAGATGAGCACTTATATGATTCTCTTCTTTCCTGTTTACTGCAAATTCTGCCTTAAGGCTTCCTTTCATCAGGACTCAGAAGCCACTAATTATAAAGGAAAGGGCAGTTAGTTGGCACGTTTTTCTGATTTGAAAGCAGCTCTTTCAGATAAGAATTAATATGCATCTGCTTTTGTAAAATGCAACTTTAAACTTCACTGACTCAAATTTACAACAGCTTTGTATACCAGAAAAGATTTTGGTAAGAGTTGAGCATTTTTAAACCACAAATTTAAAATATCACCAATAGATAGTGGACTATTTCACATGCACAGACTTACACAAACATACTCTCACACACAAATAAATTAGACACCACAATTTTATATAATTATGAATGAATGGTAAAATTAATTTTATTTTAATATTTAAAAACACTCTTTATGTCCCTGAAATATGCTAGTAAAAGTTAACAAATATTTGTCTAGATTCAGAGGTTTGTGGCAAACTTAAAAAACTTTTAATTGATGTGTACATTAGCAGTTATTAGTTGACTTGTAACAATAGATGCACCTTAACAATGTTTTTTTGTAGAAATATAAGTAGTCAAATAGTGGCATTTCTTGCAATTTTGTACAGTATTTGATTATAGTGCAAAATAGGTATGTTCACAAAATCAATAAAAGGAGTATCTTATGGAAACAAGCAAAATCTTAACAAAAATTGTTTTTCCTTTGCCTCTCAATTTTTTCTATTTTCTTTAAGTGTGAACCTCTTATGTGTTGTGCATGACTGTAGTAATACTAAGGTCACAAATGCATCTTATTAACAAAAATTGCCATGAAGACCACCTTGGCATTAAAAATTCCCTCCCAAAAATAATCCATAATCCTTAATAAAATAAAACTGTTACATGAGCCAATAAATGTATTTCTTTAATTCCCTTTCCATTAATACTTTCTTTGTTATCTAAATAGTTTTAAATTATTTACTTTATTCACACATTGGAGTAGAAGATACCCTATTTTCTTGCACATTTGTGCATAGCACAGCTCTTTGCTTCAGTCTAGGTATGTGTGCCACGGTAGGTGAAAGTACGCAGTGTTTGAAGGCAAGCAGGGAAATGCTTCTGATGGTGTGCATCAGTAAATGCTTTCAGACTATTTTAAAGTTCTGCACTTCCACTTTAGTGTCTGACTATCAATTATAAGTTATATATGTATGTACCTATGTAAACAGCTGTAAATAACAGTTTCTGTAGGAAAACAGAAAAGATTCATCTGAACCTTGGAGAAAAGACTGTGGCTACATTGAGGTGACAGTTTTATTGGTGTTTAGAGCAGAGTGACTGGAGAAGCTATCATTACTGTTATCCTTAGAAACAATTCAAATTTTTAATTTCACTCGTTAAAATCTGATTTCAGCCTAGTGACATTCTGATGGCTCGATTTCTCAGTGATGTTTTTCAGAATTTTCTATTATTTTTTGAACGTTGATATATTTTGTGTGTTTCTTATTCTCTCAAAATTTTGAGAAATCAAAAGGAATTTTTGTTTTATTGGACAAAAGAAAGCATTCCATGGTAATGGATTAAAGTTATAGGAGCAGCAATTTCATGATTACTCACTTTCCATAAGCCACTTAAAAACCTGAACTGAAAATAAGAATTTATCATTGCAAGGCCAAATTTTCAGAAAACACGTTTTTATCATATTAACAGGAGTCTGTATGAATTATAAAAGTACAAATGATTTTATGGGGTTGTACAAGTGCATACAGCTATGGTGTGTGCAAATGTAGATAAATACATGTACATATATAGAAAACCTCAAAACCGTATAGCAAATACTTAAATTCAGCTGACACATTTTACCTTCTGGTGAGTACCTGCCTTGGTGTAGACCTTAAAATCACACATATCACACGCATAGAATTTAATGGAAAATTAAATTTTCATTCTTATAAATAAATTAGAGATGTAAATTAATTTAGTATCAAGTGGTTTAATGAGCTATAATAACACTACTATGCTGAGATAGTGCTGTTTTGCTCTTTTCTGCTATCATGTTCCTATTTGTTTGATTCTAAAATTGGAAGTAATTTCACTGTTAAAAAATTTCTTAAACTTCCATGATTCTGGGCTGAGGCTATAGCTTGGCGGCACAAGCACCTGCCTGGCAAGTGCAAGGTCCTGAGTTCGATTCCCGGTACTAAGAAAAAAAAAAAAACACTTCCATGAATCTTTTAGCAATATCAGACACAATATAGAAATCTTTTAAGGGATTCCTGTATCTCAAATTTATCTCACATTTCAGTATATGATCCCCTTTGAGGCATAGCTCTAAAACTGTTCTTTAAATAGATTATAATTCATTTGAAAAATAACACAGAAGCTACTATTTTACTCCTATTTTTTACTGGAAAATGTATTTAGCAAGATATTTTTCTATAAATATAGATATATATGAAGAGAGAGGGAGAGGGAGGGAGAAAGGAAGGGAAGATGGGAGTGGGAGAGAGGAGAGAGAGAGAGAGAGAGAGAGAGAGAGAGAGAGAGAGAGAGAGAGATTGGTTGTCTGTATTCCTGGTTTAGAGAACTAAACTTTGCCATGATGTTATGGTGGACTTTGGAATAGCACCAAAGCACTACAAATAATATACTTTGTCAAGGGTGTCAACCTGCCAGTCAGAGGGATAGGAAAGGGTTTAAATTGCTCTCTGCACTGTCAGGGTTCCTCATCATCTACTAGCGTCTGCTTCATATGTTCCATGCTTAATGTCCTCTGACACAGATCTGTGAAACATAGAAGTGCTTGTTACTTAGCTTGAGGACATAGTAATACTAAAAAAGTTATTATTATTATTATTTCTAGTCTCTGGCACTCTCACATGTATTTACACATGCAAATGAGACTAGTACACTTTTCTCCTACTAAAAAAATTAGAATTTCAGGAGAATCCTGAGCAGCCCACTGCTGGCCCACAGTTCGTTTCTGTTCTTCCTCAGTGAGGCTCCGCGGGTACTTGGTGCTTTCCTGCTGTGATTCCGAAAGGATACGGAGGGTAAAACTGAAGCTGAGGAGGGCGCAGTTCCTCCTAACACCTGTGCCTTTGGGAACTATGGACTCCGTACCAAACCACTTGGAACAGTTACTCTTAAATTATTAAAAATTATGTTTTCAAATGAAAGTCATACTTAATAAAATATTTAATATTTACAGAATTTTCCTATCAAAATTTAATAAAAGATATTAACATTTCCCTTCTGTTTTTAAGAGCTCATATCTTCGTGAAATTCTCAGAGGTTAAAAAAGAGATGAAATATCAGTGAAAAGACGCCGTGGGAAAAATGAGGCTGGTCCTAACTAACCCGAGTGAAACAGCTTCCCTTCTCTGATCCTAACAAGGAGGGAAAATTAGAAATATTTATGTATTTGCTTCTATTACTGTAAGCACTTTGACTAAAATACTAAAATAGAGAATAGTTATGCTAATGACCTTTTGACATAGTAAATTAAAGTTTATTTCTTCTAAAATTATGTGTCACCATTTTTCATTAGAGATTTTAGTAAGGAACATATTTAGAGCACTATGTCCCTGTGTTCTGTAGTTGAATTTTTAAATTTACATTTGTTGATATAAAGAACAAGTTATAAAGGTAATTTATACTCCATCTCAAACCCAAATTTAACACATGACATCACCTAACATTGCCAGTCGAGAAAAATAATTTAAAAGTTTGCATACTTTACATTTCAATATATAGTAATACTCCCAAAGAATGTTTGGTAAGGTCTTGGCTTTATGTGTATGTGCACGTTTGTGTGTGTGTTTGTGTAATTCCCAGGTGTATGTGAAAGCACATTTTGAGAAATTTAGATAAATTTATAACATAAAGCATTTAATTTATAAATGGATCTAATCACAGATGTAGCTCTTGTTAAACTAGCAATTAACTCAGTCGATAGACTAACTCTTTCAAATAAATGGGTAACAAACATTAATCAGAGTTGTACTTGAGTCATACATATGGTTAAGAATATTTTTTCTATATAGATACTGTTCTAATGTATTTCCAGTTTGTTCTTCTTAGCCATTAAGTTCAGAAAGATCTTGCAATTCTGCTTAGTAAGGTAAAATAGAACATTCTTCAAATTCCAAATTTCTCAAAGGTTTGCAAAAGTTCTTTTAAAAATAATGATATAGGAGTCTAGCATTTGCATGCCTCAGGAATGTAATAAAGTTTATATTCTTTTTCCTGTTAAAATTAAATATCTGGGGCAGGGGTGATAGCTTAGTGGCACAAGCATTTGCCTGGCAAGCACAAGGTCATGAATTTGATTACTGGTACCAAAACAAAACAAAGCAAAAAAAATATGTGCACAATTATTTAAAACTGTAATCTCTATTCATTTCTGAGTTCAATCTTTAATTTTGAATTGAAATGGTTCTGAGAACTCATCTCTTGTTAGTCAGTGTTCTCAGCAGTTTACACACACACACACACACACACACACACACACACACAATAACCATAATCACTGTGTGATTCTTGAAGTTAGGGAAGGCTAGACTTTCTATAAATTAGTCTAACATATTCTTGGGAAAGTAAAAGTTTTAAAAAGCTGCAATTTTCTCTGCTTTAATTCAAATTTATATTCATATCTTTTTGAGGACACTCATCAAATTGTGCTCTTCAACAGAACAAAATCAGGAAAATTACCCGCTGCATCAAAGATGTGATGTTAGCTCTCCATGAAAACATACTGCATTTTCGCATTTTGGTCCACATATAATCATGGTTAAAATGATTGATTAAGGTTGATTAAGCACACAAAAAAAGTACTTTGCACTTTATTTTCTTCTATTTTCTACTTTGATAGCAGTTAGAGAAAATTTGTTTTTACCTTCCATATTGTAGGTTTCAGGAAATATACACACATTCCATTCAAATATTATATATTTATTAAATATCGAATCCATCAAATATTTTGCTTTAAATTATTTTTTATAGAAAGAAGTCTAAATTGATCCCAAATAAATGCCATTTGGGACTGTAAGTATTGAATTAGCATAATAGGTACAAATATTTCATTCTTCATGCCTCACTTTCAAAGACTTACTCGGTCATACCCCGCTGTCAGAATACATTTCTTCATTGCACTCTACTGGAGAAATCTGAGTACCTTTCATAAAGCTTATTTATAAAGACAAACGGTACTACATCAATTAAAAATGAGGGTCTTAGGCACGTAAGTACTTTTAAAATAATAACTTACAGGTTTGCTCCAAATGTATCTATTTTCAAAATACTCAACACAATAGTTGAAGCTCTTGCCTATGATTTAAATCAAACATAATGCATGAAGAGGATTAATGTGTGGGTAGATAGTTATAAACAGAACTCAGGTGTTGAACAACAATTGTTGCGAATTAAACTTTTCCTTCCCTGAATAAATCCATTTTCTTTGTTGATCTTAGGCATCTGCAACACATTTGATTTTAAGTATATTGATATCCTTTTGGTTTTCAAGATTTTCCTGAGCAGATAGAGACCTATCTTCATGTCCTCCAAATGCAATAATGTGATCTTTCTTGAAATACTCCCTCTGGAGGTAACACGCAGGGAAATTTTTAAAATGTTTCATACTTTTAGCTAAATTACAAAAGGAAAAGGAAGGAAATGCTTTCCCCTTGTTGCATATTAATTTTTAAGTATATGCGAGGAAAACAGGGTGAGACTCCAAAGCTAAGCTTTGAATGTTCACACTACAGGAAACTTGAAATTTTCTGGGTGATATTATAAGTATACAGTACCTTTTCTAATTTAAGAAAATAATCTAGAAGTTAATAATTGTAATTTATGATTTTGGTGTAGGTGGGTAAAGCCTCTAACTTTTACATATGTAAGACTATTTAACCTTTAACTAATGCCTCATTATGTTTTATGTTTA